CAACTTCGCGCATACACACCAAATACCAGAAAGTTTTCTTTGGGTTACTGCTGATTACCATAAGAGTGCATTAAGTCACTATAATTTTTCAAAAAACCCATGAATTGATTTAAAATTTTGCAGGTAGCTTTTTAATAGTAATAGGAATCTATAATAATGAATTCAACATGCTAGCATTGTTTAAGTAGATAGCTTATACATCCTTAAGAGCACTGAGAAAAATTTAAAATCAATTCATTGCATTTTTATTGCACTTCTCAATATACCTGCCTCCCTTAAAATCAACAGTTTGCATTGTAAACGATAATTCAGAAGCGACGAAACGCGATAACTGTCCCAGTAGTTCGCAGGATGTATCGCCGATCCGGTTGCCGGAAGTAATTTTCGATGCTCACAGGTTGTAACGACTCACGCTACGATTCGCGGCTCGAACAATTGGTCAATGTCACGCTGGTACACGTGTACCTACTTATATGTACAATGCCTACTTGTGTAAAAGTTGAATAAGTTTGGTCAGCCGGTCGGCAACCTCTGTGGAATTCGTTCGAAAGTCAACATCCTTTTACCCTTAACCGTACGCTATTGGAATGCAAAACGCACTCAAATAATTTAGCAAGCTTTTCAAAACTGAACGAAACGAATGAATAAGAAGTTCATTTTTTTTATCATTCTAATAGTTAACTTTACTGTTATGGTTCATATATTGACCATTGAACGTAAGTGATTGCATTCTAAAAGCATAGAAATGGTTAAATTTTATATTTCCATCACCTTTGGCAGGGATTGTATAGCCTGAACATTCTTAAAAGAAATTCTTAATCATTATCCATTGACAAAACGAAACAAACATCGGCAGTTAACTTCCTACATAGGTTGCAACACAAAAGGCAGGAAGTTCGATTTAACCAAACATTCTTTACGTAACAGTAGCAATCAGTCTCGACCCATAACTTATAATTAATTTCTTTCAGGCTGATAGGCAGGGAATGCGTTGAAATATGTTTCAGCGGCTGCCAATTCGATCCGGTGACATAGAATATAAAGACTGCGTCAGGGTTATCTAGCTCTGGTTGACGGTAATTAGACAGTCGAAGAAATAGTAATTAATTCGTTGTTATGATTCAGTACGCGTAATACTACGCGAAGGCCATTATGGAAAACGGTACATCGTAATCAAGAAATCAAACCTCGATGGTACTTATTTATGCTTGCGTCCGAGAGATTTAACCTGCGAACAACCATTCTTTTATTACCGTTCGGCCTTGCAATTTACTGTATCACTATAATTTCACATAATTGTCCGTGTCAAATTGAAAGAAATAAACGATGAGTGGAAGGAGCAAAAAAGTCGAGCAGCTTACGGTTCTGTAATGTAAGACTAAGATGATGACTGTCTGACTCGTGGCCCCGTTCAAGGTCAATTCAGACAACGTCACTGAATTCAATTTTCGTAACGTAATAGGCAACCCGAATAGGAATGAAAATAGTCATTCAAGTAAATTATCATTAAATAAAAAAACGTATACTGTAATTATATTTCGTGTCGTGTGCGAATTTTTTCGACGTTACTCCGAACGCGAGAGTCAGCGAAGAATTTATAAGATCGGAAACTTGATACAATTGTCGATCTATCATTTTTCATTTTCAACCGAAGTGTAAAAAAGAACACGACGTGTAGGCAAAAGATATTTCGACGCCAATAATGAAAGACAGATGCGTCCATGCTGATCACTTATTTGCCAACAAATATTTGAAGACGCGTTGACGAGTACCAATGCGTTTCTTATCTTCCCAGTCTTTTTCCTGCGTAACTGCTTATCGAACATTCCATCGAATATAGACTTCGCTCGATGAAAAATGTTTCCCGCACGTTTATGCCCTTTGCTATCAGCCAGAGTGATTAATCGATGAATTAAGTTTCTTAAATCTATACTATAAAGAAGATATGTATTTCTTAACATGATCAGATTAGAGTCAGATTGGCTTCCGTACGTCACTGCAGCATCAACAAAAACCGCGCTACGTGTTAATCTATGAAAATATGGATCAACGCATTGACAATAAATCAAATGACAATCATAAATAAATACAGTTTTTATCAATTTTGTTTCCGATTGCCAGAGCGAGACGTCCTCTTGCAACATAAAAACTGGTATCGAGTTGCACACGCGTACAAGGTCTCGTCGAAGGTTTATGTGAAACGCGGCGTCACGGTGTTTCGAATTAAAACGCGCTAGCCATCTTCAATGATCTCCACACCTTCTATCAGATTCGTTTAATATTCGTGTAATGCATGAGGAACAGTAAACGAGGTTAACGAATCTGAATTCGAAGAAACGTGCGATCGAAGGTCTCAGGAAACAATGAACAATAAGGAAAGCATTAGTAGAATCGTGAAATTAGTAATTACACGTGTTATTTGCATACGAACGTCACGATTTAGCTAACATTACCGAACGTACTCACGTGATGGAATCATGTATTTGATATAGCAAATGTTTGCGGGTAATTTCACGCGATGCTCGATCGTTTCCATTATAAATTCGAAAGCTTGACTTCGTTACGCATACAGTTCCCAAGGATGTTGATCACATAAGCGATAAATTAATACACGAAGTAATTTTTTTCCTATGATAATGAAGTTTGAAGAGAAGATAGTAGACGTATACATACATATGTATCTACACATACCGTCAATGGCATGATATCCTCAACTGCGTTAATTGAATCTCTTAATTTTAAAAAGACAAGAGCTAACAAGATCTTATCGCAAGGTCAACAGTACATGGTAGCGTCATTTAGCACGTGTTCGAGGAGCTCCACACATTTTGACAAGCGTTGAACTAATCTCAGATCAACCGCTTTTCAATATGTATGTTTAACGTCATACATATTACATACCTACGTCAGTTTACTTTTATTCTATTTCATGAAAATACCTAAATATGATTTAATTAATTAATGTGGAACAAGCGAAGGCGACTCGTTCACTCGAGAATCCAATGAAGTGTTAAAAAAATGAAAGGGACTTGTACGAAAGTCGAGAGAAGGCGTTGATACTTTCGGCGAGGATCTTCGAATTTTCAAGGTGTTTCAATGACCGGTTTCGAATAAGTCGGTCAACGTGATCGGCGAAGGGCACTCGAGAAAAAAACTGGTTACGAAAAAGTGGCACGAGCACCGAGTTAACAAGCTACACCGTGCGACACGTTGGATATTGGTTGGTTCCTGATCTGGATTATCGACTTGCTCACTTCCTTATCTGATACTTGGCAAACACTTGAACGGTGTGCAAGAAATGGTTGATAAGATAACGGAGCAAATGAAAACGTGTACCCAGATGAGGATGAGGTACGAGAGAAAGAGAGGAGAGGAGATGAGATGATACGCGACCAGCTCGTGTAACAAGTTATGGTAAATGTGTCAAACGGTTTCAAATGAACGGCGTTCCGCGGCGGTTATGCCTTCGCTTGGAATGAGAGAAAAAACAAAAAGATAACCGCCGCGGGCAAGACAAATGAGATAAGGGAGTTGGAAAGCGGTGAATATCTCATTATGGTAAAAAAATTGTCTCGACACTAACTTTTCCTACACAATCATATACGGCGGGAGTCATCGTTTTCAACAATGGAACTTTAATGAGAGTCTAGCGTACGATAGAAAGTTTGTACGTGAATTAAATAGAAATTTAGATAATTAATGATCAAAATTTGCCGAGTTAGATATCCCAGTTATTAGTCACACTAGAAAAGAAGCGAAACGGTTGAAGTAGTTTCGCGTTTTCCTTTCTGCCGCGGTTCTCCCAGGCGACAAGTATACTAGAAATTGCATTTCTACATACATGGTCTGTTACATGAACAGTCACGAAAATAATCCCTATATACGGACAATATAATTGCACTTGTTCATTAGATAATGTTCCTAAACATCGATAAATGCTACCGTATACAACTGTGTTACTTAACGAAATTATTAGCGGTACGTTATTACGTAAGATAGTATCGAAACAACACGGGGTTGAGAATCACTTATTAAACTCGTCCGCCTACCATTGTCTTCTTCATTGTATCTAAAAACTTATGATCATCCGATCCACGTTACCCAATCGTATTTAACAACGAGCAGAACTTTCGTAAGAAATCCAGAACACAAATACAGTATTTACTGTTGCAAAGAAATTGAATTCAGTGTTATCGGAATAATCAAGAACAGTTTAAATGTTTCTTGTTCTTTGCGATCGTCTCGTGCACGAGTACTGCTCCCACCTCAACGAACGAGATGATTCACGTTTCTGTTTGCAGTAATTTTTCCCTGCCTCTTACTTCATCGCTCATGTAATCGCGACCAAGTCCTTTTAAATTAGAAAATAGAACGGACGTAATTGAAAACATGCTGCTAAATAGTATATAGATTTATGACCGCTTGTCAAGGAATTGTCGAAAAAAAGAATGATGAAAAACGTGCTAAAACAGAGTGCATTATAGAACTGCTATTCGTTACATCATTTATTTATTATTCGCGAACATGTGGCTGTGATGAATCATAGAACTAAAAGTGATGCCGTCTCTCTTTTGCTGTCTCTATCCCTTTCCATGTGACGCATTGACACAAAAAGGCGATCCACTAGTCAAGTTCGCGGTTTATTGAGTGCCAACTATTTTTAGCTCCAAAATACTATCGCTAGCCTACATGCCTATGTTTTATCCTATCTCCCCTTCTCCTTCGAAAATATTTGATAATTTAGTTTTTCTTCACGGGATCTTAGAATAATAGTTTGTTCTGTATTCAATATTTATCGCTTAGAAATGGCAATTCCGATAAGGTGTTAATACCACGGGTATTTATAAATGGAATTATATCGCGACACAACGATTGTAATTAATTCGAGATAACTTTCGTGTAAATCTTATGCACTGCTTGTGCGACTTGATAAAGTATCACACAACGATAGCAACTACCACTTATCGATTATCAAAGTCTATTTATCCAAACTAAATGTACTGCAGTGCTAATAAACTGTTATCAATACACAAATAGCAATTTATTATATTTCGATGTTTAATAATGTATACACACAAGTGTTCTCTGGTAACGTTGATACTTTCCAAAAACAGTGACAGATAATGATATGAAACATATTGAATGAAAATATAATTATCGTCAAAATTGGAGACATGCAAAAGTTTTGTGTTAATCGTTTCCTGTTCCTTCCGGAATGTTCACTTTCTCGCGGGCATGTCGAGATTTCAATGGAGCAGCTCGGAAAGCGCGGCACGTACCTACTACTATTCGAACGTGAAACGGGTTAAGGCCTGTACGCGGCCACGCGACTGGCTCCTCTTGTTTCTCCAAGTACTAAATAAAATTCAAGGCTCTGCGATCGCAAAAACATAAACCTTGCCGTAATTCTCGTTCGTGTACGTAAACCTCGAATATCTGATGCTCGCTACGAATATTCCGTGCATTAGCGTATGTACTTGGAAACTTATCTCGCGAGCTTAAAAAAAGTTAGAGAATCAGCGAATTAACGGTTATAAGTATTATGTAATCAATTGCCACGACGATTGTAAACCTGTTCATCACGCTCGACGCGGTACGGAGGGATAGACGTGTTGTTATCACGTGAAATTCTTAAGAAATTATCTCTCTCTTACCTTGATAATCTTGTATTTCTTTTTGGTTGCTTGATTCAAGTCTTCGTGCACTTTGTCCAGTAACCAAAGTAAGAATTCCTGAGCGTCGTGCTGCAAATTACCGCGGTACTGACTTCCGTATTTGTCGACGACGCTCTTGAACGCTGTGCTCATCTCGGGGTCATACTGGCAGCTCCAGATAGCTTTTAACAAAAGGGCCAACTGTTCAGTGATCTCACCCTTCGTTCCATACTTCTTTGAATTCAATTTGTTCCTCCTCGATAGATCGATCTTGTACTGGTCCAGAACGAAATACTCCGCGAGTATATCCGTGTGCGACAAGCACTGTAACACGGCGTTCATGAAACACGTGTTACCGTGATTGCGCAAACCTATGACCCCTGGTACTCTGTCAGGCGGTATATGCGCTGGTCTAGGTGGTGGAACCCTTATATCTCCGGCACTCGATCCAAGATCGTCCCTATGAGAAGTTTTGTGATTCTGCGTGCCCACGTTAGACATGTGCTGGACCATTTTGTTGATGAACTTCTTCCAGGACGGTCTACGAAACACTTTCTTCACACCCGGCCTGTCCGAATAACTATGACTGTTCTGTAATCGTCCCATGTTCTGCTGCTGCATGCTCTCCACTTGCTGCTGATGCTGCATATTGTTTCTGTCTTTGGTGCTCGCCGAATTACCGTTGTCTTTCGAGTCGCGATTCTGTTTTGGTCGCCGCCGCGACATTCTACCGCTAGCACTTTTGAACGGATTCCTCGGCAATGTGAACGTACGCTTCAAACGGGACGTAGAATCCCCCTGTATTCTCGATTCCGTCAATTTAACCTCTTCCACGCCCAGCTCACCCTCCGACACCGATTTCATCACCGCACTAACCTTCTCACCGTCCATCGCCCGGCCACGGAGACACCGTTCAAGCTTCCGCTTGCCGTTCACATCACGCTTTCCCGTTGGACGATCGACTCGTACGTCTTTTACATGCTGTACGTCGGAAACTGTCGCGGAAAAACGTCACACGCGTAACCCGCTCTCGTACACTGCGGCGGCCATTTGCCTTTATCACGGGCTTCCACGATTTCGTGATGCTTCGACCATGGATCACTCGAAATCAGTGGTAGGAAGATGCAATACGGTAGCAAACGCGATCAACGCCCTCTCTAAATGCGGGTAATATGACAGATCTCTGCTGATGTTAAGGTAGAAAATTGTATTATTGATAACTGATCATGTTCAAATTTTTAAAAATGTTATCTGCAACGCCGAGGAGATACTACCAGAGATACCAGGAGATACTACTTGTTCATTTATGTAAAAAACAAAAAAACGTTACACGTACCGGGCAAACTTGTTTTAATATGAATTATTAGTAGAATTCATATTAGTGTAATTATAGTTTATAAAATCATGGATAGGACAAGTTGACAGGTAGTTAATGTATCTTGTTTTATTAGCTTAAGGACAATTTATTTACTTTCATAAGTGTTACTGTTCATTTACAGTAAAAATATGTACGATTCACTTCGTTCTGGCGAGTCATTCGAAACAATGACTGCGGAAGCTTCGTATTTGACACTGGTTGATATTTGTCCAGGTTTAATGTCCTTCCAGAAATGCAGAAGAGCTTTCGTTTGACTAGATTAACTTTTCAAGTGTCGGTAATAGTTTTTAAAATCGAAAACAATTTCATCGATGAAACATATTTCCTGGTAGCAACACTCGAAAAGTTAATAGTATTAACGTTCAGTACGCCGATTGTCCCAAAATCTCTATATGTTAATATTCGTCGCAAGAATATAATAAGGGATGAAGAGCTACCGATGGCCCGGAACAGCTGACAGCATTATCAATATAATCTTGGAAGTTGCTCTCGATTACCCACATTAAATCCTTGTATCCAGGCATAACTTGTGTCGGCAATCTGCACTCGTTAGCTTTTTCGACTAACAGAAAATTATCCGGAACGAAGGGAGTATCGGTGTTCCACAAGTAGATATTCGAATCACCTAAAACAGAAATTACAATACATAATACTCACCAGTTTTCCTTTCCTGTCTCCTTTAAGTAAACTTAAAATTCTTACCCTTGATCCTAAAGAACATAGCAGCTCCATTATCAGTACCCAGTATCACAATTTTATTTTTCTTTCCACCGACATCCACTATGGAACCATTCGCGTTTCCGGATCTCAAATTCACAGTTTTGATCGCGAACATCCTGCTAGATCCCAAGTAGGTGAAATAGAGAACCGGGGAGCTGCAAGATTGTCTCCTGACCAGAGCTAAGTACAGAGCATCTGGTTTGTCTGTACCGGATGCAGCGGCTGCTGGCAAAATTACGCGGTATCCGGAATCCGTGGTAGCATTGTAAACGATAATGGCACCGGTACCAGCGTCGGAGATGTAGACGAAGACCTGGCCGTCTTCGGCGTAGTCGATAGCCATGTACTGCAACCTCGATGAATCATCTGTCAATGTGCTCAAGTCGATCACTTTTACAACCTGCAATTAAAAATCCTTCCTCTAATTTTCTGTCACAATGTATTTTCCTTTTATTAGAAAATAAAGTGTCGTAACTCACTTTTCCGCTGCTCACGTTAATACCGACGACTTTGGGAGGACACCTACGCACAGGTTGTTCCAAAGTATTGACGATACCGACGTCGAGAACCCAGAGGATATCCTGCATGTCCAGGACGAGGTCCACGACGCTTTGCAACGCTTGACAGTTTCCTTCTTCTTGAATAGCCCAGCATGGGAACGGAGCTATCTTTGGTTCGCAGCTCTGCGAGTTCAATGAAAGGACGCCTAACGTGAACGGTACTCCTGGCTTGTAACGCGGCAGTGCTAGGATAGCTTGATCATTGTATATCTGTGCCCTGGTAGCGATTATGTTCCTGGAAATGTAGCGACCGCTGGTCTCGTAAATGTTCTTCGTGCTCTGGCACGGCCATTCCACGCTGAGTCCCGACAGAACCAACGGTTGCGGTAACACTGGGTTCCCGTAAACCTTCAGAACTGCTACCCAGAGGATGATTAAGAAGAACCTCTTCATCCTTGCCGTAGAAAGTAGTTTTGTTCACTGTAAAATACAGAGCACGAGTTTCACTGATCTAACCGTTGACTCGTTTCGCTTCTGGATTCATTAATTTGAGACGAACGTAACTTACGCGATGACTTTTCGTTTTCCGAATGTGAATTTTATATCCAAGTGCAGGCTTATATACAAACGTGCTTGTGAGATCTCATCGATCATGCACTCCTTGCATATTTATAAAGTAACGTCGGTCCTTCCGCCTGTCGCAACACTTCTTCCTGAGAGCAACAAGGAAACGTGCTCTCGATGATGTTTAATAAACAATACTGAAATATTCAGGAAGCTTTGTCTCTGAAAGATGAACTTAGTTCCCCGCTTCACAGTTTCAGAAACAATAAATCATGTCATCTTATGATGACATATTTATTTGACATGACGCTATTATTATGTCATCGATGAAATATTAAATTACTCATTGCTGAACTTTTCGCGCGTTATATATGTAATATTATAACTATAAAATAAATATAAAAACAACTAATAAATATAAAAACAATTTAATAACTATAAAACTGATTATTATTGCAATAATATGATTGAGAAATAGTTGGGAGTACAATTGTTGACGGATCTTCCAAACAGAAAACGTAAAAGGAGCCGGGAACGCGGAAGATGGGAATGTTTTGCCGGAACATTAAACATATAAACTGTTGCATGTCGCAACTTCGGCGACGCGTCAACTCGTATAAAATCGAAGTCATCTTAAAGATCTGTGTCAGTTCAGTCGATTTCGAGAAAGGAATACAATGCACGAAGGGAAATGTGTTTCACTGATTATAGTGGTCCTCGCGTTGTTAGCGAGTACCGGGGACGCTTGGCTGGAGGAGAACGTGAAATGGACCGGTGGATCCTTCGAGTGGCCGTGTCCCTCGACGAAGAACATGTACAAAAATAGTGGGAAATATATTCCGAAGAACGTGATCGCAACTAGAGTTGCGATGTACAATGACGACGCTATCGTGGCTCTGCCCAGGTAGAACAAAACAGTTGCTGTTGAAAAATGTCTATTGTACTTATAGAGTTTAATGGAATAAATAATCGTTTGTAATTATACGTTCAAATGTTTCCTATATTGAGAAAAATGATTTACCCATAGAAAGTACACGGTTTGATACAGAGTAATTTCATGTATTATTTATATTCGAACGTAGGTACAAGGCTGGTGTTCCAGCAACGTTGGCGAAACTGTCTCAGAGCGAGCAAAGCTGCGAGGCTACGTTGATCCCTTACCCATGTTGGTCCCTCCAGGAAGAGGACACCTGCACCGCTCTACAGAACGTGGTGGATCTCTATCTGGATCCACAGAACATCCTCTGGGTCCTCGACACGGGAGTGGTGAACACTTTGGAGGAACCTATTCGGAAATGCCCTCCGAAGGTCCTGGCTATCAACGTCAGTACTGGGAAGGTACGTCGTCTTTTATCGTAGATTCATTTTACTTTCATTGATAAAAGAAATCTTAATTTATATTTAATTTTTTAAATTGATACCAGAGAAATCAGTCTATTTATTATTATACAAGTTCGAATACAAACGTCGAGAACGTGTTTGGACAATAAATTGATAACTGCTGACAGATATATCATAATTATGTCGTTTCGTAATTATTGTGAAATCCGAGCGTGAAATATGGTCGTCAAACGAGACCTACTGTTTCACCACCTAGTAAGGAATTGAATACTTTATAATCCCTTCACTTGACGAGCGTGAAATATTTTTACTTGATCCGGTTAGACAAAAGTGCTCATTTGTATCGTTATGGACGACATCCATAGAGTTATCAGTTTCGTTTCGAAAATGATTTTATATTTCTGAAAATGCTTTCAGTTTATACATATGTTCATGATTATTCGAACGATACGATGTCAAGCTTGAACATGAGTGAGGTCGAAATACGATTGCGTTATACAACCAGTAACTGTGTCGCGATTTAAACAAATTAAAAAATAGTCGCCAGCGTATACGTTTCAACTTTCCATGACGACACAAACGGCGTCGAGTCAGATTTTTTGTCTGACTCGTATCAGCTGTTTCATTATTATATAAGCATATCTATTAGCGACTGTTATGCAGCAACACGGTATACTAAACAATAATTCTAATGCCTAACGACTGAAGCTAATGATATGATACTAATAAGTTCATTATAACGAATTTTTTAAGTAGAACACGATTATCAGTCGGAGACATTGACAGTAATATTAATCAAAACGGCCAAGTGTGAAGTTGAACTACAAGATATCCTTTTCCTACGTTCATTATTAATTATCCAGCATATCCACACGGATATCAAACATTGTTATCGTTTAATCATAACTGCTACCATAAAAGCATTCCTTTATTGTAGAAATCTATCTAACAATTTTATCTTTAATCTGAACGTTCTGTTATTCAGCTATTGAAAACTGTGGACTTGAGCGGTTTGACGAGCACCACGTCGCGGCTACAATACGTAGTGGCGGACTACAGCCAGGATGGAAGGGTGTTCATCTACGTCTCCGACGCTGCCACGAGGGCGATCCTCGTGTACGATGTCACTTCGGGCCGTGGTTACCGTGTCGTTTTGCCCCAAGCCATCGCCATTGGATGCAACCGGCGAGACGTCTTGTACCTCGCCCTCCTCCGTCGTTCAGACGGGAGCACCTGTCTAATTTTCACTTATCTATGCAGCAGCCGTATGTTCTCGATAAGAACCGAACACCTGAGAAATGGTTCTGCGCATGGCAGAATCCACGATCTCGGCCGGAAGCCCAAAAGAATGGTACTCTTGGGTACAGATAATGGCAGTGCTCTTTTCTTCCGGTACGAGGGCGAGGCGGATGTCTACCGTTGGGACGCGACCGAGCAGTTCGATACACGATCTTTCACCTTGGTTTATACAAGCGGCGAATGTTCCTTAGCTACTAACGTCGTCGCGGATTACAATAGAGGAAGGATGCGAGTGCTCGAGTCTAATTTCCCGGATTATATGCTCGGCACCGTCGGATGCGGCGCCACGCAATCGCTGAACTTAATGTAGCGTCTTGCAAATAATATTAGGATCGAGTACATTGAATTAAAACAGAACGACTTCTTTATTTTACCCTTCCATTGTTTTATCTGATACCCTAGATTAAGTATAAAAGTAAACCGATTAAGTAATGTACTTTTCTTATTTTATGGGGTTCTAATATTCCATTCAGACGTAGCACCCCTCAGAATGATTACTGTCCCTCATGGGTTTACTCAGTAGTGACCCTAGTTTACGGCGTGTCATTACGACCTCTTTTGTGAAAGGTGTGAGGGACAGAACCCGCTGGTTTATGAGAGTTGTTAGACCTTTTCCCTCGACTATAATAGCTCTATAATACAGGTCTATTCATAAACAGAAGAGGCTTAAATTGGGCATAATTTCGTGGCGAACGTAAAACACAGAAGCCCATAAAGTAATAAGTCTACCTGTGCTAATACTAAGCTTGATGATTGAAAGTATACACGCACATGAAAATGTTTCATAAATGCGTTTAATATTTAATTTGATTAAAAACATGATATCGTGATTTTGTTTCTACACCAGTGCTGGTAAAGCTATCGTATAAATCAAGATGCAAATCATTTCACGATGTTGGCCATGTATCCCTAATGCAACGGTCGAGAAGAATTTCGTTGGAGGAAAAAGGAACCTTTCTCTCTTACAATCACTCGCGCACGTTTGTTCATTCGATCGCGATTAGTCGGCGTCGGCACTGCTAAGTTACACGAAACGGTTTCCCTTAAATTCAGCCAACGTGACAATAACTCACGCGTATCGGACTAACACAAGGCTCGAATTCGTGCTATCCGTGCCTGGACCATTTATCACTGAACAACCACATAAAAATTATTTTAAAATCGATTCCTTATTGTCGTGATATAAATGCAACTTATAACAGTAATAAAAACTTTATTCTAATAAAATTGTGAAAAATTTTTACATTTATGTGATAAAGTATGAAAGTGCTTTTACCTTTAATCGCGTCATGTAAGGCGAGCAACATATTCATCGGTATCACTATTGCACACGCATTATCAAGTTTCTCCTTTGCCAGTTTGACGGACTTTGAAATAAAAATCGATAGTCGGTATCGAATTTGGTTCCTGAATCCCAAAGATCGCGGTGAAAGCTCGTCTGATATATTGTTACGTGCTTAACACGTATCGTGTATTTCATTGCGTTTCATACTCGCAGTCATTTGTATTAATTACCACCTGTATGCCTATAATGCATCATGTAAATACGCGCAATAACAAACATCCGCCTTGTAAATTTTACTAGGTGCTTGATTACAATAGCATTTCCTCATTACGATGAACGGTGAGCTGGGTCCACGATTTTACACCATTGGACGTCACGATCTCGTTTAATTGACCTCTCGCAACGTCCATGGGCGTGTTCCCTGCTAAGACGATAATTATAGTAAAGAAAGGTTGTTTAGATTTTTACATCTGTCGTCCGCTTATGAGAAAAGCATAGCATTCAATACATCAAACACCAGTCAATCAAGTATTTAGATTAACGTAATATTTATTGATACTATTAGAAACCGTTGTGAGAGAAATAAAATTTTTTGGAATTCCCCCAAAGTGAACTCCATTAAATGTAGTACATAGAATACTGTTGAAATTGATTTACAACCACTTATTATTAGTGAAATTAAGTATTAACTAGCTAGTTTGTATGACTGCTCTTATTAATTCAGTTTGTACATACGTATGTAAGTTCTGCATGAGAGAATCGTAAGCTCGCGTGTTACGATACTCGTTTTCCATCCACGCGATTATTCGAGCGTGCAATGTAACAATTTTGTGTTTGCGATCGAGGGTGCGTTTTCAAAATCTTGATCGTGGTGACGTTTACATCGAACGATTAGGTAACTGCAGCTGCGATAGCATTACACAAGAAATATACAAATTATTTTACAAAAAGAGAATGCGAGGCATTTTGTTATCTCAGAAGCAAAGGACCTTGTTCTTATCTTAATACGAAAACAATATACGTATTATTTAGGTCGCTTGTAAAGCAAAAAACATTTATTTACAACATGTACATACAACGTAGTTTATTATCTCAAAAGGAATTTTATTAATTAATCAAACAATCTTGTTCTTATTTTATTACGACAATACGGTCAAGCAATTAGGTACTTTTCAGAGCGGATACGTATACGCAATTGTGTATCGCGACGAGGGAAAATGGATTGACTATGGAAATCTACCGATCAGCTTAATGCGTTGGACAGCTTTACGTAAGCTCTGCAGAACTATCTTGCGACACGCGGTTTTACGTGAATTACCCTTTAAAGAAAATAATCGAAACTTGTTCAAACGAATCGAGCAACGTGACTTTATCAAGCTAGCTATGGTAGATACCTTTTCCTTTACTTCCTCATGATAAAATGCAAATTACTGTCTTGGAATAGATTATGTGACAGGTCTTTTAAACGTGTTAGATTAGAGAGATAGTGAATGAAAATATTACGTAATGTTCTTTAAATTTGAACTTGATAAATATCTAAATTTTGTAGATTTATTTATATAAATTCGTCATCCTATAGATATGTATAAAAGACTGACCTTTCCAGATCGCTAAACATTTGTTACCTGTTACTTTCACGACTATAGTTTGGCCTCACAGTAGCACATGCTTTGCAGCCTCGCGGCTTACGCATTGTCACTAATGAATAAGAAAACGAATGGCCACCGATGAACATCCGGCAAGTTTCGCATGATCGGCCGTGGTTGAAGGGAAACAGCTGGATTTCGTCGCTTCCGTTCTTCCATAAGAGTAATCGCGATTATGTTATTCCCATGATATTTCAACTCGAACGGGTTGCGCAAGCCCGAAATGTTCTATTCTTCGCGTTTGTATCAGCGTGGAGAAAAATTCTTGCGCAATGTTCACGTACCCCATAATTTTCCTTACTTAGTCTCGATCGAAATCGGCTTAAGGGGACCTTATCGCATCCGTTTCATTAGAATTGTTCTTCGACTATGGCATTGAATTCTTTTTCAGCACCGATTCAGTGCTCGAGTGCTTTTCGATGAATATCCTCTCTCCTTTAGAGAATTTAATTTTAATCAAAATTTAAGTGATAAGCTGCGATAATTAAACAATATATAATTTTACTTCCTTTTACAATAAAGATTTATGTCAATATAATTGCATTATATTCGACACCGTCAATCGTTTCTCATCGAATAACTATTTGTCTTTTAATATGTAACAAAGAGCGGTATAGTTAAAAAATGATGTACATTTTATATTAATTTTTGCTTCAACTTGTTTTTCATTTAATAACAATTCATGCAATAAATGCAATAATTATGCGATTAACGTAATGGTTCCGCTATATTTAATACCGTGAAACTGCCTGTTCTGACCTAACGAAGCATACGATTTGTCCTTTAATTTATAGCAAAGGCCCCGGTATAGTTGAAGAGTGAACGAAATAACAATTAAGATAGGATTGGTACGAGCATATTTGCAGCTGGTAAAAGTGAATAAAATACTAATTGTGATACTGTGGCGAACTGTGGTACTGTGACGAGTGTTGTGGAAGTCCTTGGTACATAACTCTGTTCGAAAGTCCCCGGAACTAATGGACCGCGCCCACCAATGATACTCTTACGTTTTTGGATGGCAGGAGCCTAAAAAAGTAGAAAAAACTGACAGTGAAGAGACGGGAAGAGATTGTATGTGATTATGGGAATTTCCTAATAGTAAATAACAACCGGTATCGTTCGACCACATTCATTATAATGAGATAATATCAAGCAGGAATAATTCAAATAAAATTCCTTTAATTCCTGACTTGTGTGGAATATGTAATTCTGATACCGCATACCAGGTCGTAACCGCAGTTGCTAAACGGTGGCCTTTGCGTACGCCTTTGTCCGCAAATCGCTTTCTCCGATACAGTTTTAGTCAGGGGTCCGAACTTTTTACATACATGATGAAATTCAAATATATTAATCGAAATTCTAGAATTTCGATTTCAAAAGAGTTGGAGTGAAATTAATTGGGAGTACAATCGCTTGTGTGTATAGTCTTTAATCAGAAATGCTAAATTTCAAACTAGCACAATTAAATACGGTGATGAAATTCAATGTGTTTAATTTTAAATTCAAATATTGACTGCAGTGGTCGTAATTTTTATTAAATTAAATTGCAAGAATCTTGGAATGACAGGAGAGGAAATACGTGGGCAGCTTGAGTTCACAAAGGTAATTCGAACCAGCATCCTGATTTGACCAATGCGGCAGTAACCTTTGGTGAAAACGCGTTCACTACGTTAACGAAGGTGTAGTCTTGAATGTCAAGAAGGATTGTTCGAGCTGGGTGGAGCGTACGTGCGCTTACACAATGTGTATGCCGATGCTGATTTACTGCCGTAAGCTTGCCTCCTGTCGCTGGGTCCGCAGGATTCGTGCCGATGCAGGGAAAATTAGATCAGTCGGCGTGCAGACAGCGGGACTTGATACACGTTCGCAGAACCGATTCGCACTTGCCTCGAGCTGGTTCACTACCACCTCGCTGGTTCACTACCACCTCAGAATTCAAGTGTTAAAGTTCTAGTGAAAATCCTTTTTTCTGTGAGCGACGATTTTTAGAAACAAGGTTGGTTTTCTGTGAGCAATTTTTATTATAAGCTGTGAGTTTTCAATCTCTTCTCTACATTTGAAGATCTATTTCTCCGCCGCTGAAGAATCAATTCTTGAATTTCATTTGTGATTGTGTAAAATTACATTTCTGAATATTAATTCACAATTATGTTCAGTTATTATTTGAAATAGGAATAAAATCTGTGAATATCCATTGGGTCGTACGTGTGGGAACTTTAGCTATATTACGTGGATCAAAAGCGAGACCTTGCATGACTCCCATAATTAATTTATGCGTCAGTAACGCATCTTGCGAGTTCAAGATCAAGTTCAATGATTCAGAGGATAATTTGTTTTTCCGTACCGCAGACGGTGCAAAATTCTGTTGGTCTGGTTTCTGAACCGGAATAACAAGTATTCGGTCATTCGCTCAGAACAGACTTTTCCAAAGGCAATCGCGCGATGCTCTCGTCGACGGATATCCGATCAAACACTATTGTGTCGCGGTCATTGTGATAGCCGATTGTTACAAAATACACGGAAATCGATGTTCGTTAACTTTCCCGGCAAATGTTGCGCGATCATGTAAAGCTCAATCGGTCCGCTAAAGGATATTTGAATTCCTATCGGTCTTTCAAATCAAAAATCGTGCGTTCGCCTTCGTACTTTCACGCGATTAAAATTTATCAGTTTCGAGCGTGGAACAATTTCAACGTAACTAGTAATTGGCAATAAATAAAGTAAACGTTACAGAGACACATAACGATTTATAGTCACGAGACTTAATGAACAGTGGTTCCGACATTTCCACGTATTCCAAATATAGCACGGTTTATGTTAACGCAGACCGTAAATGATTTTATGCAAGCAGTGCAGAGTAACTAATTCTCAAACGAAGTGAATTAAGGAATGAAAGGAAGAAATATTGCAGTGTAGAAGTATACAAATAATGTGTATAGAATATTATTTCTTTATTATAAGAATGCGTATAATGAACAAGAATATATATTGTACTATTCCTGGCAAAAATGTCATCGAATTGAATAAGCGATTTAATAATTTCCTTATATTTATTATAATTATATACCTATTATAATATTTGTATTTTTTATACTTTTCATTCATTATCGTGTCGCTCCATTGATTGAAAAATTGTTGCTAACATTTATGCAAGATTTTTGTATAAAAATCTGCTTTCTACCGCAGGATGTTACTGACGATTCTCGTGGCAGGGCTCGTCTGCGCTTCGACAAGCGCGGAGATCCTCGAGACGGTAGCGCAATGGCCACTTCTAGATTTCGCACTTCCGTACGACAGGGAGTTTCTTAATCAGTATCGTCCAGAGAATGTAGTACCAACGGGACTTGAAATCGGTTGGGACAAGGTCATCATCACCGTACCAAGGTTGCGTGCTGGTGTCCCGTCTACTCTGAACTATATTCCGAGGAATCTGCCACTGGAAAGCAGTCCTCAGCTACGCGCGTATCCGTCTTGGGAGTGGCACTCGGCTGGCGTAGGCGATTTCAACTGCACGAAGCTGATCTCGGTGTACAGGTCGAGGATGGACAGATGCAACCGTCTCTGGACCATCGACAGCGGTGTGGTAACGTCGATTGACGACTTCCGGCCGGTTTGCCCGCCGAAAATAATGGTGTTCGATATGAAGACTGATCAGCTAGTGCGACAGTACACATTCCCACGCGAGGTGAGTATCTTTCTCTGGATATCAATTACTCTGAATAGAAAGTCGATCGTCACTAGTACGTTCACAGTTTACACAGAGAACTGATATGATACGTAATTAAATAGTATTTTTAGTAAAATGAAATTAAACTTTTTTTAAATATTTTATCAAGTGAGTTCTTTATATAGGTTTTGAGACCAAATACGTTGTTGACGAACGTGATTATTGATGAGACTTCAGCGACAACCTGTGACGATGTATTCCTTTATATATCTGACACTGCAGGACCCGGTAAATCTTTTTTCTTAAAAATATCTATTTTTCACTTTTCCTGATAAACCTAACTTGTACGTTTGCTATCTTGTACGTTTTAAGGAATATTGGTGTTCGATGGGGCCACGGATAGAAGCTGGCGAGTGCTGCACTCATCTATGTATCCAAATCCAGATTTTGGAACATACAATGTAAGATCTTAATTCATGTACAATTCCTGTTTTGAATAATCGTTTTCTTTCATCCATAAAGAAGTTCTCATTTCGATGTAATTTCTCTTCGTGATAAGAAAAATTGTAACGCAAGAGCATTTGTCAATCGATGACTGATGCAACGGTACAGTATTAAAATGGTAAACGGACATAAGAAAATCTGTTGGTTTCGCTGGTGTAACAGAAGAAAATAAACGCGCCGTGGGTGATTCTGGAATGACATACTTGAAGCGAATTCTGCGGTTCCCCTTTATAATATTTACGCGTTCGAGACGAGCCTCGTAATGCTCGCCTTGGTTTTTGCGTTGCGTGTTTTACTAGATAAGAAGTAACGAGGAATTTCACGCTGGGGTGACCGTTGCACGCCGTTGGAATATTTACAGGAATCAAACAGTCAATAACGTGAGGCACAAGCGTGAATAAAAGTTTATGCCCGTAACTAAAGGATAAAAATATTGCGCGTGCCAAGATTTTTAGCTGTTACCTCCGACTTTTGATGAATACAATTTTACTCTGTTTGCATGAAATCCACAATAATTTTTAACACTTGTTACGTGAATTTTATTTTCTATCTTAACGAATATTTCTTATAATCGTTTTAATGTTATAATTTTGTGAAGACTCTTAATAATTATTTAATAGATTGCTGGTGACATGTTCGAATTGATGGACGGTGTGGTCGGTCTGGGTTTCTCCGGTAGACTCGGGACACTTTATTATCAGCCACTGGCGACGGACCGTCTGTTCAGCGTGCCAACCACGGCTCTTCAGGCTGGCCCGTTAGCATTCGGGGAACAATTGCCGGTGACTTTGGTGGGCAAGAAGTCCAGTCAAGGCCTTGCCCTGTCCGTTGACCCCCGCGACGACACGATTCTCTTCGCGCCGCTCACAGAAACGGCGATCGCCGCATGGCAGCCGCGTACCAATCAACAGAGGTAACAAATCGCTATTATGACATTGATACAGTGGCTGCAAAAATTATCGCACTCTCGTCTTTCAATCTGTTGCTTTCGATAAGACTTTAAGATCGATCTTAATTATGTCAAATTATGATTATTGAACATTATTAAATAATAGATTTATTTTTTTTAAATATTAATCGATAAGATTGTAGAAATAGTGAGTTTATGGTTTCCGCAGCTATTGTGTATTGTAAGCGGGAACCTTGTACCATGAATGGACGTGAGTCAGAGAGCAATTGCTTGCATTGGCGATTTGTATTGTTCTAACGAATATGCGTCGTTTTCGCAGCCTCCGTTATCTTTAAACATTAGTCTCTGAAATTGCACACGAAGAGTAGGAAAATATTACAATCTAAATTCTTATCAAGTGAGAGTTTCAGATGCTGATTCATGGTTTTATTTTTATTTCATTTATGTCAGGATCTTAGCGTACAGTCCGGAGAAACTGCAGTTCGTGGCCGATATTCGGTGGGCCGATCGCGACAATGGTCATTTCTGGTTGCTGTCTAGCAGATTCCAAAAATTCTACAGGCGGGAGGTGAACGCGCGCGAGGTCAACATTCGGATTACGAGGCTGATGCCTTTGCAGCATCCATTGAAATCTACGATTCTTAACTCGTTCACTCAATCCTATTTTCCACAAAACTACTACAATAACACGTTAAGTTTCTAAAAATTTATGTCAAATTATGGTATTACGAGATGTTGAAATTACCTAAGATTAGTAATGGATGGTAGCGAATAATAGTCAAAGTATAGTATGAAAATAATTGAAAATAAGATTATTAGAAAATAATTTGTGACTGTAGAATTGTTAGTGATCAAGTGATTTGTATAACACAGAGATTTGTTGAAATAATTAATTCGATAATTCATGTTCTTTATCTGCACAATCACTTTACTGTAAGTTGTATCATTTTCGAATATGTATAATACATGAACAAAATAAAAATAAATTAATTTCTTTAGAAATACAACGTATATTAAATCTCCTTCCACGTTCCACACCCAAATGTTACGACCTCTTAACTTGTAGGTTTTCGCTGCCAGAATCATGGAATTTATTATATCGCTAAGAGGATAATTACTGCAATTGAAAGTCGGTAATTATCTCAGCAGATAGTCATCTAATAAAAAATAAGAGTCCGACGCACGAGCATAGTTATATAATAATTGATATTAACGCAGACGTCATAAATCACTATTTTGTTTACTCCGGCACGGAGAAAACATTATCTGTAAGCATTCGCAGCAATTAAAACAAAGTTCTATCAGATAATGGTGGTAAAAGGCCCATAATTAACACTCCATTAACGACACGAATCAATTAATTCATATATTATATAAACAATTAAAGAAGGAAACATGTCATGTTTTCACATTAAATGACAATAAAAAAAAAAAATTGAGTGTAACCCCAGGTTATTCACTTATTAGATGAATGACATTTAAAGAATTGTATAATTACTTCTACTGTGGTTACACTGCGTTACTATCGCTGATTAAAGGATATTAATATGCATATTGCATTTATGTAATGTAAGTTGAGTCATAAGAATTTCATAATTATCTCTTATAATTTATCTTTTTTAATTTAGGGGCAGTGCAGTAATTTTGCAATAGTTTCAGCTCAAAAACCAATGTTTATTACTTTTTAGCGCAGTTGTTTGACAAAAAATTTACGTCAAAAACCTGCCCTCAGTCATTCGTATGAAGATGTTCAATTAACTGATTCCAGTTCCTGGAAAAGTTTGAAACTCGAACTCGTCGAAACGTGTGATACTTACTGGTGGGATTTACCCATTACTGACCTCGTTTGACATTTCCCATCGCACAGGCTTAGGTCAATGTTTAACCAATTCGTCGTTAAATAATTAAATCATTGGAATTTGAAGAATTCTATGAAGGTTTGTTCATGCGACGATCGACCCGGTTTAAGCAGTGCCCGCCGGAATTTTAGGAACCTGCTCGGTAAACCTGAGAGCGATGTGGCCACGAGTTTCGTGAAACTGGCTCGTCCGGCTCAGCCTTCCTGAAGAGATGCATGATCGAAGCGGAGATCGTTGCTCCACGAGCATCCGTTTGCTCAGTCGACGTTTGAACGCGACGTTGTCCGCGCGTTACGTTCCGCTCTGTCTCGCCTTCGACGAATCGGTCGTTTCTCATTTTCCTCGCGAGAGAATTTGTCAAACGCGCGGATCGGTTTCAAGCATAATATCAGTAAAAATTATTTCTTAAACTCTATTGCATCGTCGTGAATTTAAAAAATTATATTTTTTCATTCATTTCGTGATTTTAATTTAAAATTGAAATACTAGATAAGTTTATTGCTTATTATTGAGAGATAATCGCGTGCGTAAACTTTTGAAAAAGTGTCAACGAGCTAAATCTTATCGTGCAGGGGTCATCGTCTAATAATTATAAGGAGCGTTTGACTATTGTGGGGGACGGGGGATCGAGTCTCAGAGAGATTCGATTGCAATTCGTTTCTGGCAACTTGCGTTGGTACCTTTATAGTGCAGCGGCGGTGAAAGTTGCATGAGAAAAGAAGAGCCAGGTGACACCGAACGGAGATCGTTCTTGCAACGGTACTGGTTAATTTTGGAAGTGAGCCAGGCTTCATTTTTTGTATCGTCTTTAAGTACTCCCAGTTTTTATCAGTAATTTCGTTTTGTATCTTCGAACAAATTAAAATGTAACAATACGAGTCAGTATCGATAAGATTTGAATATTCGTAGTAAAAATATTTAGATTCTTTGTAGGCAGTATTTTTCTATTATTCATTGTGTGCCCAAGTGTTCGACAACGACAACGTAAAACATAATGTTTCGGACGTGCAAATTTATACGCGAAATTAGCATACGAAAACGATTAAGAGATAACATTGTATTCTGACATTAAAATAAGAGATAAGAGTTAGTATTAAAAAAACAAGTACGTATATTAGTCAGAATGTAATTTATCTTTAAACGATTACGAGGAAAAAAATCATTGACAGTTTGATTCGTTCTCACAAATAAACGTAAAATTGCTTGCAGGATTAAGTATTGTATCAGTAATGATTCTGTTATTGTTCAGTTTGAGGATGAGGCAACTCAACATAGTAATTCTGTTGCTGGCGGCAGTTGTCACCTCAGCTCACGAGAAGCTGAGGAATATTTACTCGTGGAAGGCTTTAGAATTTGCGTTTCCGGACGAACATGCTAGATTGATAGCCATAAAAACTGGCGCTTTCATACCTGGCGCTCCGCTACCTATTGACGTTGATGTATATAATGGAGGTAAAAGAATTCAACTTTATCCATGCGAACAATCGCATTTATCTTCTGTTCCAAACGTGGTAAAAGAAAATTGAATTATGATCGACATTCACAAATACTAATATTTCTTTTTTGAAATTCTTAATAGAAACTAGATATCAATTGTTGATCTGTTGACTTATATTGATTTCAGAACACAAGTCAACTGTGTTCGTGACCATCCCACGATTCCAGGACGGCGTGCCAGTGACCCTGGGTTATGTCACCGATCAAGTATCTGCCGATGGGAACCCCGTAATCGCGCCGTATCCCAACTGGAGATACAATCTTATAGGAGACTGCGATGGAATCACCAGCGTTTATAGAGTACAGGTAAAACGTCTTCAAATATTTGAGTATTCGAAAATGTAAAACTCATGTTTCGCGGTAAGAGTGAAGAGATATCCAACGAGCCAATATTTATATGGGCATTTCCCGATGGTTCCCCTCTGAATAATTTCCCAAGAGGAAAATCCATTATTTACTTACACGCGTTCGGATCAGCAACCATGTATGACAATGATAACGTATCAACGAACTAGTTCAACTAATTACTTTCCTGGCCTTATTCGTCTTTTTCCTTATCGATATGCTGGTTATTACGAAAATGATCGAAATTAAAAGATAAATTTATTTGTTATTTCAATATTAAAGAAGAATTTTTGTGAATAATTTTCATAACAACCTGCACAGATATTTTTATTGTTTCTTTATTATAAGTTACTTATTACTGGTTTTCATAGATCGATGAATACAATCGATTATGGGTGCTCGATACGGGAGTGCTTGGAGCGAAGAGAATATGCGAACCGAAGCTTCACGTGTTCGACTTACATGATAATAAACGAATCGCTTTTCACACATTTCCCCGTGAACAATTCAAAGAGGATTCCCTTTACGTCACCGTGGCTGTAGACGTCCGAGACGGTTGCCAGAACACGTTCGCCTACGTAGCCGATGTAACAGGATTCTCATTGCTCGTTTATGATATGCAAAATTCGAGATCGTGGAACATCGTCAATAATCTGTTCTACCCTTACCCACCGTACGGTACTTTCAATATCAAAGGCGATACGTTTGATCTGATGGACGGAATCCTGGGCCTTGCGTTGGGTCCGATTGAAAATAACGACAGGATACTCTACTTTCATTCGTTGGCTAGCAGAATCGAGTCTTGGGTGCCTACTTCTGTTATTAGGTAAACTGCAGTGAGTCATACAAAAAAATCGATACCTTCATTCTAATACGACGTAGAAAACTATCGCGGCTTTACTTGCAATTCAGATACGATTTGAAATAGAAAGTTCGGTTTTTTGAAATTACACAAAGGTATAAAAATATTGTTTGGCGAGGTCAACGAAAGAATGCGTTTCTATGTATTCAGGAATCATACGACGTTCAAAGAGAATTCCGAGGCCGCCGCAAGATCGTTCGTTCCCTTCGAGCAAGAGAGATCCTCGCAGTCCGCCGCCGAGGCCATGGACCGCGATGGTGTTCTTTTCTTTGGATTGATGTCCGACCTGGCGATTGGATGTTGGAACAGCAAGCATTATCCTGAGTACGGCGGCAAGAATATTGAGATAATTGTGAAAGATCCGGAAACTCTACAATTTCCTTCAGGCATGAAGGTATTTAGCACTGCAGATTTTTATACGAAATAAAACCTTTGTATCATCAATTTAAATTTTCTTTTAAGAATTCAATCTTTGATATTCTGAATATTATTATTTAATATATTTTTTGTATTCAACTTTATCTGGTCAAACTTTTGCAATTTAGAGAAAATTTCACGATATATGACTTTTTGTTTCAGGTAGTAAAATCGAGAAAAGGTAAAGAAGAGCTGTGGGTGATGACGGCTTCCTTCCAAAGGTACATGAGCGGCTCGTTGCATCCAAACGAGACTAATTTCCGGATTTTGGCTGGCTTCGTGGATGAATTGGTTCGCGGGACCAAATGCGATGTAGGTGCTTTGAAGGCACACTTCCCCTTTAGTCAATGAGAGTCCTGGCACCACGAGCATTTGTCTAATGATTATTATTATTATCATTGGCCGTCCTGGCGATGTTCGATTTTTGATAAATCGTTCGTTCAGAGAAATCACCATTTCTATCATTCTCGGCCATACCTGAGAGACCACTGGCGTTATCTTCGATGTCCTTTCTGGTTGAGGTCCCAGGATTATTTGTGGTGCAACAATAGAAGGTTCTAATATTTGTCAGATGAAATAATTTCAGAATTTATTTGTAACCATTTTGCGAGTCTGTTCGTGGTGCTGAAGGTATTACTGGATCTTTTTATGGATTCATGAATTAAACTTATGACACAATTTCATTTTTGTGGAATCGATGATAGGATTACTGAAAATGTTCCTAAATAATTAAATATCGTACACGGTAGTTATTTCAAGTACTGTATATACATATATTATGTTAAGTATTATCGTTATAATAATTCTACTGAACTGTTATGATTGTTACATAAACATGTTAAGATCGAATTGTAAAATACTAATTTATTTTTCTCTGTTACTGTGAGATACGAATAAAAGTAAGTGGAAAATTTTGTTTCTAAAAATGGCGATCTTACTCACGTCCTTTTCACAGTACACAGTTTTTATCTAAACTGTTTCCGTTTATTTGTTAACGTATACTTAAAATTGTTTTGCAATACTTTCTTCCTAAATGTATATGAGTAAAAAAAATAAAATAATAAGTTCTTTAAAAAATAAAAGTTACTCATTCAAACTATCGCTAAAATAAACACATAGAATCAGTGATTTACAACAATTCTTCTGAGGTTTCCTTCTTGGACTTTTTAATTACTTTGCTATTTCCCTGCTGAGTTGAAAAGCTTGGCAAAATACATATCCAAGGTATAAATAATTTTAATTTCTTTAATTCTATTTTCCATTTATGATAATAATTAATTCTAGAAAATACATTATCATCATATATGTTATATAAGGAAATTGTTTTCTAGTTATTTTCTTCAGCTTTTCTCCTCCACTGTGGAAAAAATTATCAAGTGGTTTCATTATAATTATTTCTGTTATTTTCTTTCTAATAAGACAGTCCCGATAACGCGGGTGAGCCTACGATTTACGTTCCCATATTATGCTTGTTATACGTATATCCACAAATTACCTAATGCATTTTAAGCAATGATAATGCTTGCACATCAAGGAAAAATGTGTGGTTCGTGATAGTTACAACTATCCTGTTATCTCTGTACAGCATAGAAGGTCGTCGTCGCCCGTACTTATATTGTGTGCTCAACAGTGACACTTCTGTATTCACCTGTTGACTCGCGTTAGCTTTCATTTCATACCATTAATTAATGATACTTATTACAACCGACATTTTTAACACTTATATTAAAAAATCGTGAAGGAAATATATTTTTCTTAGAATTTTAAAATCATGTTGCCCCGTTGGTTGATATTAATATGCTTCTGCATATTTTTACAATGGAATGTAGATTCTTCGAGTGCTAAAAAATTGGACGTAGTTCACGAATGGAAGTATTTTGATTACGATTTCGGTAGCGAAAAAAAGAGAGATGAAGCCATTAAATCTGGCGAATATAATTATAAAAGTATGGCTCCTATAGACGTGGATAAATGGAAGGGTAAGACTAGATTTGAATATGTGTTTAAATTTTGTGCATAGATAAAGAATGATTGTTTTTGTACCAGATTTGACTTTCGTTACTGTGATAAGAGCCAAGGGTGTGCCAGCCTCGCTGAACATTGTTACCGATAAACTTGGGCCTGGCGGGCCGCTTCTGAAACCGTATCCTGACTGGAGCTGGGCCAAGCTTGGAAACTGTGACTCGATCACAAGCGTTTATAGAGTTGCGGTAATTAAATATTTATGATGATCACTAGATTATGAATTTCGTATTATTTATTTCAGATTTTATTCATAGAAAAGTGCGTGTCAATACTAGATATTCAAAATTATACATTAATTTGAAAGAAAAGTCCACTTTTTAAATTTATATTACAAATCTTTTATTTTGCACGAGATTCTGTTGTTTATTAATAATGTTTAAATAAATAGATTTAATTGAATTATGTACAATGTGCAGATCGATAAATGCGACAGACTGTGGGTCTTGGACAACGGTAAAGTCGACGATAATCCGATTTGCGACCCGCAGTTACTCGCCTTCGATTTGAACACCTCGAAATTGTTGAAGAGGATCAAGATACCGGAGAAAATCGCGGTCAACGCGACTACTGGAAAGGGATTATTGGTCACACCTGTGGTTGACACCAGGGGTGAATACTGTCAAAATACAATCGTGAGTCTCGCCTTCCCACAAAACAATTGCAACCTTTCTTATATTATAACAAAAAAGAATTTGTTCTATTTCTACTATTTTATTTAAGACGATTTTATTGATTTTTATAGACAAAGTTTATGAATCATTGTATGTATAAATGTTATTAACAGGTTTACGTGGCGGATGTTGATGGTTACGCTCTGATATATTACGACGATAGAAGACATTTTTTCAAACGTTTGACGTCGAGTGCGTTCAACTATGATCCTAAATACACGAAATTCACGATTGAGGGAGAAAGCTTTACATTGCAGGATGGTATCGTGGGAATGGCTTTGTCTCAGCAGACGGGCAATCTCTACTTTACCCCCATGTCCTCCCATACCATTGGCTTTGTCCAGACCAACATCCTTAAGAGATCGATGGGGGAATCTTTGAAAGTGACGACGTGAGTACAAAGACAAACGAATCATTGTTTTTGAAGAAATCAATTTATATTTCATTTCGTAAACTGATACCAAAAAAGTTATGATCAACTTATTAAGAGCAACAGTTACTGAGAAATGCGTGAAATCATATCAAAATCTAAATAGGATTTAAAGTTTATACTTGATTTTAGTTATGACAATATTCTGTATACTCAAGAGAGCGCCAAAGCCATGTCGAAGAGCGGAATTCTTTTCTCCGGACGTGTCAGCGACACGTCGATTGGTTGCTGGTACGAACGTAAACCAAGGACAAAAGAATACGTTGTTAGTAACCGCATCTTCATAAATTTTTGATACTAAATAACTGGATAAATTAAAATAATTATCGAACAATTGCAGGGAACAGTTGCTAAAGATCCTGTGACTCTGCAGTTCACCAGTGGCATGAAAGTTAAACAGGGATCCTGCGAGGAGCTTTATGTACTGACGAATAGACATCAGAAGATAGTAGGTGGAACCCTGAATTATAATGAACCGAACTTTCGAATACTGAAAGGAAGCGTAAAGAAGTTGGTACAGGGTACTGTTTGTGAGCCCTACAGGGAAATTCCCGTGTTTCCTCCTATTTGGCCGTGGCTATTCGGTCCTGGACCTCGTGTACCATTCTAATAACTGATGTGAAATGACCATTAAACCACGCTCGTATTACCGCTTATTAGATTATATCAATGGGTAATTGTGGCACTTTCGATAAATACGCAGTGAATTAATATACATTTTCTCCATTAAATGTTACTACAATTATATGTATATTCTATATAATGTCAAATTTATATGGTAAAAATACTAATACAATATGTTTAGTTTCCACTTTTGGTTCTATTTTTATCACCTAACTTTCACATGTTTTGTGGTTTCTGTCTAAGGATTGGAACAACCCAAACTTTCCCTGCTCCTTATATGTACTTGTACTTTGAATTAATTGACTAGCCGAAAATAAATTAGATCTCAATAAAACTCATTTTAGTAGTCGGAACCGGTTTTGTTAATATAAGAATGAAAAAGCATTGGATTTAACGAGACATCGATTCCCGTTTATTTGAAATACGTTTACGCAACGCGATTCCAATGAAAATTATTTTTCGAGTTCGAAAATCAGTTGGGCAATCGAAGTGACTGGAAGGACACTCCGCGTAGCCTAAGGGTCCTATTGAAAAAACGAATTCAGTCGCGAATTTCGTAATATTGTTTGTTATTAGAATTTTAAATTTCGTTTCATGTAAGTCGACATTCTCTTTCTCTCTATTTATATTTATAATATAATTTACCAGCGTACCAAGAGAAACTTTTTATCGGCTTCGTTACATAGCTTTACGTACGAATACGTGCCATTAGTTTTTCTAACCACCCTATTTAGCAAAAAGTGAAAATGGCTATGCAATGGTTTTAGATTGAATTTCATCGATATCGAACAACTGCGTAACCAATTTCTTTTTTGGGTTCGTATCAGATAAAAAGAAGCGCCGAATGTGAATGGTATAACGATCGAGTCTAGCTACCCGATGAAGTAACGTCCAGGAACTAACGTAATAATTACATGCTCGATCACAAATCAAAATAGATGCGTCGATAACGAGGCCGAGTTTATATAAAAAACTAGTGACGAAATGAGAGGCGGTGTAGGCATAAGAAACACGTTGCTTTCTGCTTTCTCGGTTCGGCCGATTCAATTTCAGTCTGGCCATTGGTCCCCGCCTGTCAGTCAGTGAGATTAAATACTAGCGGTCGGATCAGTGCATCGTTCTCATTCGATTATCTCACGTTTACGGAATTATAACAGACAACTTTTATAACGTTTCTTCAAATGTAAACAAAACGGAATTGAAAAACTTTCTGATTAAACTGTACTTTTTTAATCGATCGATAAAAGTGAAAGAGGAGAAAATTAATTAATTTTAGAAAAAGTGTTCCACTTTTTGTAGTGTCAAGTGCGAGAGTTGGAAACAGGACAAGGTAAGTCAATTACAAACAAGTTCCTTCTTGATCAAACGCTAGCGTTCTTGATCCGGGAAGTAACTCGTGAAACAGAGATTGGCAGTTATCTGATGGAAAGTTGTTCACGTTCATAACAAATTCACACAGTCTCGCGTCATTAGAGAAGCGAGTCATCGGAACGAACGAAACACCGTCTTGGGTAATGCGAATCATTCGTTTCTCTTACCTTTTCGATCAGTTCGATGACCATGAGCTTGACTTTTGTGTAATCGATACGAATCGCTAAAAATTCGCATGTCACTCGATTCATTCAGATTCGTTACGCACTTTTTCCTAGTAAACGGTCAAGATCATTTGAAATGTAGAAGGCTTTTTATAATCGTCGGAAAATTTTTTCACGGAAGATGCACAGAAATAAAAAGGGAAAGTGCATGGTAATGAACTGCGTCTGCTCTACGCACATTCGTGGGCACGGATCTCCGAAGCGCTTCCGTTACGCGCTAACGCTCTGCTTTCTGGTATGCGATTAAATAAGCGCGGTGGATTAATTACTGTTTCTTGTTACCTTAAATGCGATATCATCGTAGAAAGAAAATGTGATGGTTATGTCCTGTGCTGACATTCGTACTTAAGACTTCGTACTTAGAACTATCGACTCCTTTTAAATACTCTATTTCTCCATTGAAAACCTGCCACTTTAACGGTGAGTTCTATCGTTTTGTTTAATTAAGCAGTGGTAGCGTGGGAAGAAATGAAATCTTTCTTCTTCTATACTTAATTCTCTTTCTTCCTACTAGATTGAGAAACTATCGAGCGAATAACGTTTTAGTCGCCGCTAAAAACGAGCTTTGAAAGTTAACACATTTTTCAAAAGTCTGTAATTAAAAAACGTTGGAAACGACATGGAAATTACATTGTTTAAAAAATTGAATCAACGCGGAGAAAAAGTTAGAGTTATTTGTGAATAACATTCTTGAAAAATTCTAGCGACACGTTCTTTTCCTAACGCGAATAAACGAGCTATTATGAAATTCCACCTTGAATGGTGCCGCGCTAAACGCAATTACGCTCCGATCATGTTTTTCTACGACACTTTCTCGGCGACCTAAATGCGCCTCCTAATTGAGACGTGCAGCTAATCGTCTCGTCTCTCGTAGACATGACATGACGAGGAAAAAGAGGAGCTTCGGATCGCAAGCCGGAAACAACGGTTGGTCGCTGAACGGATGGACGAGCGAGCGAAGGAACAACTATGCCTACATTTCACCGAATCATCCGTTCGTCTACGATTTGAATGACCCCACGGCGAACTACCAACATGACTGCCTGGGTCGGAGGTCCTCCAAGAATCGTGGCTCATTCGGTACAAGTAGGTCTCAATATTAATTAACCCCTTCTTTAAATTATTAGCAAAATATGTGAATATATGAATCCATATCATTCCTCAGTAGATATAAATTCATTTATACAATTAGCCGTAACTTTAAAGTTTCCATATTACGAAATAAAAAGAATGCGTCTGGCACAACGTCGTAAAATTCAATGGGGCTTTACGAACGAACGTGCACGCCGTGCAAGTGCGTAAAATTAGGATTATGCAGTAAACCAAACTAGTTCCTGGAAAAACGTGACCGCGCGATTGTTTAAACATTTTCACGGCATTGCGTTGTTGAAAAAAAGTAAGTGCTATCTATTACGCAAGCCACGCGGTTTCCCTAGCTTTCGCGTAAAGCACGAACATGGAAGATAGATAATTTATCAAAAAATAATCTATCAAAAAATTTGACAAATATTATTACAAATACAAATATTAAAAATGCGTGACTATTAGAAAAAATTTTATAATGAATATCATACAAGAAGCACTGAGACACACGAGATCCCTTTGTTATTATCCAATAAAATGTCACAAATTGTAATTTGTTCATTTATATTCCTATTACGTCCGATTCTATCAGATGTTTCTATATGTCCTGAGGCTTATGAAGAGAGACATAAACCGAGTTACGACGCGTTCAACAGCCACGCAATCAAACGCCTCCACTTTCTAACCGATCATTAAGCGAGTGTGAAATACTTTTACCTTGAATGGGGTACGAGTGTCTCATCGACGCTGCGTCTAATTTATCTCTGCCTTACTTGTCCCTCTTTCTTCTCATTTCTGGCCGCGGGTAAGTATCTGCGTCGATCGAACAAACTTGAAGAGTTCTCACGAGATTAATGCTGGCGTAACGACGCTCCGGTGCATTTGGACTCCCACTTTCGAAACCGGCGAACGATTGCTCAAAACTTGCTCTAAATATCGAGCATCGGCGCGAGTAGCGAATTCGCCGATCGCGCGGATTGCGAGGAAACGTTACGCTCGAGTAGCTACGATGCTCCGTAAGATGATAGTATGACTCAATCGACAGAGATACGGGAACATGATTTACGACATCCAGGGTAATAAAGCTCATTCATTTAATTAATTCGTCTGGTTTATTAGTTGTTGATTATCAACACTCGTGTCGTCGTTTATCGTTTCATTAATAATATAATCCGAGAATCTCGATTGAGATCCTCGCGTTGAAATGTACTTAAAAAAAAAAAAACTCTTTATATAGAAGATGAAGCTATTATAAGACAAATTATCGTGTTGATTGTCCACCATTTGCGATCACGGTTAATAACAGGTTCTAGAAGAACATAGCCGTGTAAGTAGTCCAGTAGCATTGAAATGTCACCATCCCTGGGATCACCTTTAATCGAACCTGCGTACCTTGGTCGTCGAACAAACGCGATTCTTCAAACGCGTTCTCCGGTTGATAGTTGCTCCAGTTAACGATCGCAGATGATATTTTCAGCGTTCTGGATAGTTTAATCGGAATAGTAGGCGGCTCCCTTTTCTGGTTTCACGAACTCGCCGCCAATGACCTATACCGCGGGGCCTCGTACCACGGATGAGAGGGAAAATCTTCAACGAGAGAAGGGATTCGCCATTCTCTCCTTTCGTAGTACACCTAGACACACTTATGACCCGGATAGTGAATATGGTAGTCGGGTAGCATCCACGGTCTCATCTCCTGAACGAACATCTTCATCCGACCATCAGTCGCGTGTTGCTTCGCGATCCTCTCGTCCAAAAACCTGACCGCGGTTTCTCTTAAGCATTGTTCTATTCTAATTGGTGTGACCGAGGTTTCTACCGGCGTTACGAGTCACTGGGTCACCATGAGGAAAGCTCTTCTCGATAGTCCGAGGATTCTTCCAGGTACTTCGATCAACGAATCGTTTACTGATTTTCTTTCGCAGACTCTCTTAAAATTAATCTTTTGTTTTTTTACTGTAAGTATTCATGCGCTAATTTGTATACCTAATTACTGCCTGTCATTGTTTTTCATATTTATACAGTCGATAATAAATAGAAGATTGATACATTTCATGTTTTAATTATATTTTATAATAAATTAATTAGTATAAAAACATCTTCTCGTGAAGATATAAAAATATTTGATACGTCATCCTTTCATACCAGGCAAGCTTCAAAGTTTGCTTGTTGACTACTACTGCGCTTCGTCTTGAACAATGTCATACGGTGACAAATGAAAATTGTAATTACGAAAAAACGCATGATCATCGTAACTATTAATCCAGCGATTTTTATTATTAGATTCTGACGCGTCCTCGAAGCTCCTAGGTTCAAGCGATTGATTCATTGTTCTTTAATGTTAATCGAATTAGTGAGGAACGTTAGCTATGTTAGGTATTACGGTACAGAAACATTTTACTTCGCGGGGAAAGCGAATGCGAGATTACTTACCTTGAAAGTATTATAGTTAAACCACGAAATTACTTAGCTACGTAAACGTATACACTTTTCATTTTATCATCCTTGTTAGGCAACTTAAATCGCTTCAGTTAATTACGCGCTACCATTGTTTCTTACAATTATGCAACGCACCTGCTCGGTATAATTTATATCAACATTGACTTTCATTAACGTCCACGTGTTAAACGAAAGTAATTACAGCTTTTATACATTTTAGTGTTTTTGAGTGGACTTTAATTAATTAATTAATTAATTAACGCAGTATATGTCTTGAGAACAGATGTTTATCTCGCAGCTAAATTACGATTATTCACATGTATTGTATTCATTATTACGTCAAGATAGACCTGGCGATTTAAGACATAATAAAGTTCAGTTTCAACATGAATTTAAAAAACTGTAACGAGTGTTTCGCACTCGAAGATAGTAAGATAGAGTTTACTCATTTGGAACGAGTTGCCTCGTAAATACGATCGAGAAGAGCACGCTGACTAGCAGAGGAATCGATAGGAAAGTAACGATAATTGTAAAAGCATGTCACGATATCGCCAAGTATGGGGGCATCCTTGCAACCGAACGCCAAGTCGCACCCATCTGTTCTCCTTTACGATGACTTTCATAGACTCAATTTCATTAAAGACACCGTTATGAATCTCTCAGATGAATTGGACTTCGGTACTCCGGCAGTGTTAAATGTCAAAGAACATCAGCCGTAGCATTCAGACAGAGCGGATAATTAACCCCGGTTTCGCAACTGTGTGCTCATCGTAAATAATTGAAAATCACGGATTCCGTTGTAGTGTTTAATACACAATTATTGACTGAAGTAAATGCACTCCGTACGTCGGTATATTTGTACGCGAGATAAAACTGTTGTAATAGGAATTATTAAAAGCATGATGTATATCGGAATATAAGTGAACATTTAACTTTTAATATTTCATAAGCACATACATATTTACTATGATTTTATTAATGTGTAAAATGCACAGTCTAACAATAAGTATCACGTGCACGAACTTATCTGCCGTTTAAGTATTATCCAATGTCGATTGCGTAACTATTATCAGATTGCCCGGGGGTAGTGATATTAAGCTGTTACGATCGCGATAACCAGGTCGGAGCGAACTTCTTCGTTGGGAAATCGGTCAGCGAAGGTCGTCGCCGTTCCCGCATTCACACATTGGAATCTCCTTTCTTTTCAGGCATGGCGAACGTGGTACCGTGGCTAATGTCGATGTGCCTTCTCGGCCTCCAGGAGATCGCGATCCAGCCTGGGAGTCATGCGCTTTCACGCGATCTTGAAACGACCAGCCAGAGGACCGTGTCTTCGGGCTTTCGCTCGGTACTGTCATAATTCAACCGTTTTTACTTTCTCCAACTAAATGTACAAAATTTAGCGTGTCCAATAAGCTAGACTCGTGGAGAGAGAATCAAGGTCGTCCAGTTTTAGACTGAACGGTTTTTATTCGTATTATTATTTAATTTGTATTGTATGCCATACACTGGCTATTTCAGTCTCTGAGGAATTACAAGACCCTGATCTCGGGCCACGAGGAATTGCCAGGTCATATAAATTGCAACACACCCAAAGTCGAAGAGAATGTGGTGGATAAGCTACCGACCACTCCAGAATACAATAATCATCTCTACGGCTCGACGCCGGATTCCAGCGAATTCTTTTCGTCTCTTCTTGAGAGGAGGCCCTATCCTAGGCTACACGGCAAAAGCTTCGATGTACTCAAAACGGATCCGTACTCCGTGAGCCAATTAGAGACACACGGGTTCAATTACGATCCCGGTCGTGGTCATATCGAGGACGATTACGTTGGACCTGCTATGGAACTTGTAAGCTGTGAAATAAAAATTAATACGATTGAACTCTTCTATTAATTATAAGAAAGTATTGTCTGACAGGTTTACGCGTGGTCCACTATCGATTATGCCTACGACAGCATCGCGGCTAGAGATGCAGCGATCTACGACGGTGACTTCATCGCAGAAAATAATCTACCGCTCGGGCTTGAAATTTGGAGAGACAAAGTTTTCATTACTCTTCCCAAATGGAAAGATGGCATCCCAGTGACATTGGCTACCGTTCCCAAAAACTCGAAGACCAAGAGCCCTAAACTGACACCATATCCAGATTGGAGTTGGCATCAGAAAGGTCAGTATAGTTTACAGATAATATCAGAAATAGATGAACGAGTATAATAAATGATTAAAAGCGAATTTTTTTAATTCGTAGGAAACTGTGATGGATTGACCTCCGTCTTCAGGGTCCAGGTAGACGAATGTGACCGTCTCTGGGTTCTCGACTCCGGCAAAGTGGACATAGCTAAAGGAGGCAGTTTGGTTTGTCCTCCTGCAATCTATATCTTCGACCTCATGACCGACAATCTTATCAGAAAGTACATCATACCCGAGGATCAAGTGAAAGAAGACTGTCTATACGCGAACATCATCGTGGACATTAGAAACGAAGATTGCGATTTAGCAGTAGCCTACGCTTCCGACGTATTCCGCTATGGATTGTTAGTATACGACTTCTACAAGGACTCTTCCTTCAGGCTCCAGCACCGATTCTTCTATCCAGACCCGTTGGCTTCTAAATACGAGCTCCACGGTTTGAAATTCCAATGGACCGATGGAATCTTCGGTCTGGCGTTGAGTCCGGTAGACATTCACAACGATAGGACTTTGTTCTTCCATCCCATGTCCAGTTTTCGCGAATTTGCCGTGTCCACGTCGGTTCTTCGCGACAAGAGGACAGCGGAGGAGAATACGGATTACTTCATGCCCATTGGCCGACCCAGAGCCAAGGACTATGGTCATTCTTCAGGGTCTGTAATCGACAGGAACGGAGTGATGTTCTTCAATATGGTGACCAGGGACTCCGTTTGGTGTTGGGATACCAGGAAAGAATACATCCCACAAAATCTTGGAGTAATTGGGACCAGCAATTTGTCCTTGGTTTTCCCAAACGATATCAGAGTTGATCATGAATACGATCAGAACGTCTGGGTGATCTCTAACAGACTAGCCATGTATCTATATGGTAGCATCGACAGCAGCAAGATTAACTATAGGGTGTTCAGGGCTAATGTCAAGGATGCTGTCAAGGACACCGTCTGTGATCCTAGTTACGTCGTACCTGGTTCCGAGCACCTGTACGATGAATCTTGTTGAGACTTAGTGTCACTTGGCGGTGACTGAATTCAGGATAGTCTTGGGAATTTTTCTTTAAAATACTTCGCTATTTCCGTATAGTATAACACTGGATAAGGGTTTATACTATAAAAGAAATCTTCTGGATATTACAGAAGTTTGTAACATAATTTTTGAAGTAACATTCCCAACAGTCCTAAACTTTATCAAAGTAGATTAATGAGAGACTTGAAAGGGAATTTAGTAAAAATATCTGTCGAAGATTATAGACTCTTTGTTTTTATGAGGATGAATGTGAATAGATTATTTTGTCGAGAGTAGAGTAAGCAACTACCTCGAGTTCATCCCCCGAGTAACGAAGAGTTCACTATGTGTTCTTAACTCGAAGCAATCGCGTTAGTCAACGCGATCGAGGTTTTAGTTCCACTGTATTATACTCTGTATAATAATGAGTCAGTGATGAAACGTGTATATTAAGATTGCGGCGAGATGAAGTGTACCGAGTAAATTAAAAATGAACCGCGTTTGCTCTCTAATGAGAAGATCCTCTCATGTTTCCGTGTTGTTATACACAGAGTCGTGCAGTTAAGATATTTTGCTAATCGACAAACATGTGCTCTGGTCGCGACTTTCTAACAACTCAAGGTTCGCTCAACGTGGCGAGGCGAATAAATGGTTTAGCAATTAAACAGTAGTAGAATTTATTTTCTGCATCCTTAATTCTTCCTTCCCTTTTACTTCGTGTTCTCCGATTGAAGTGCGACGCACATCCCGTGTCACTCCGTGAATTTCTCATTTGTCAATGAACTTTCGTAGATGTCAATTGTTTATCTCGAAATAGTACGACACGAAATCCTAGCGGTGAGGACGAACGCGTCAAAATTAACGTGAACGGTGAACGAACGAAGCCCCCCTCCCCCTCCCACGAAATTCCCCGGGTGATCCCTCAGAGCGGAGGTTTCAGTGATCGAGAGCTCTTTAAACAACGGATCGAGTCGACGATGATCGGCTATTGTAGGATCGACGACCCGCTGGCCCTCCGGCTTCTTCGACAGTTTCGCGTTACTAATGCCTAGCTTCCTTGGACGTTTCATTGGTCTATCCTTTCAAACCGAACGACTGATAATGAACATATTAGGCTTGGTGAGGAGAACCACCCCTGCCGATATTTCCTTCCCTCGTAATAATTTATCAGCTCGTTTTTCCCCATGCCTTGCATTTCATATTTAACCTTCATAACGTTCGGTTCACATACTCGAACGAATTAGTATATACCAAGAATGAGATTTGAAAGAGAACAAAAGTGTTTATAAGAGCGTGTTTTCGCACTCAAAGGTTAATAGCACTCTGGACTGGAGTCCCATAAAATGGACGAATAAGCTCGAACAAATTTGGAACTTGTCTTTATCGCAAGGAACTCTTATTCTCGACGTGATCGGCGAGGATACGATTAAAACCGGTTAGAACGCAAGACCGATTCTATTCTCTCTCTTTCCTTCTAATCTATTACTTAACGAATGATTTATATCGATAGTTCTATCGTGGGTCGTGATCACGCGAATCGTTAGTGCCCACGTGTACACGTTCACCTATATGACGAACATTTATCCTATAATAACATGGAGCCAGCCGAATTTATTGCTACCATGGTTGATCCTAAGCTTCTTCAAGAACATCGTGCTCGAGGTGATCGTGATCGCGGTCGGCCTTCTGCTTTGGTACGATAAGAGATTCTCCCTCCCTATCTTTCTCGAATTTGTTCTCGTTAAAGTGGTCCCTCTTCGTAAGTGACGTTATCAATTTCATTTTACAGACCACAGATTTTTACGCAAACTTAAACATTTAAACAAATTCTTCACAAACTTCGTTTTAGTTCTCGCCAGCTACAATTGGTATTCGAACTCTTGCATGTTCCTCGAGCTGCGACAGGCGGAGAAGATAAAGACGCTCAAAAGATCACTGAGAAGCGATTCGAATTTCATGACCAGCCGACTGTACGCGAAACTCGCCGATTCCAAATACAGAACGCGATCGTTGACGACGTTGCTGTCTTACGAAAGCTACGAGACGTACGACACGCACGATTCAATTTTCGACGATCCGAACTTAACACCGGCGCAGAAGACCATGAAGTATCTAGGGATCACCGAGCAAGATATTGAGGATGCACTTATCAGAATCAGGGAAAGAGCGCATGACAGACGACTGACAGAGGACGAGGACAATCAGTCTCGCCTGAGATCCATGAACACGTCTCGGCTCTTCTCGTTGGTCAATGATTACGGCGGTCACATATCGAGAATCTTGCAAGATGTGAAGAACAGGGCGGCGAGTAGGGGAGCAGATGAAACGAAGAATGAAACGCAGGATGAAACTGTGGAAGAATATATGACGGATCAAGTTATGGATGAAGACGCTTTGGACAGCGAAGTCGCGGACAGCGGAGTCACCGATAAACAGGATAACGAAGTTGATAACGTAGTTTACGAAGCTGAACCGAATATTGAAATTTCGGATGATACGATCGGGGATATTCAAGACATTGACCCGAGTATAGTAAGTGTTTTCCTATTTATTAATGAATATCGGTAGTTAAATGAATTAAAAATATTTCTCTGAGGTAAAACCCTTTAAACAGACAGGAAAAAGTTTACGAGAAAATTTATATCATATACTTAGAGCGATCGATCTGACGGGCTGAAATCTACTGGAAGTCCGCGAACACCCAAGGACAATTCTTCGGAAGAAATAATTTCGGAACATTCGTCGACGAAGTGGAGGGGGAAGCAAATGAAGCAGTACTCCTGCTTCTCGAAGGACTGCAAACATATCTCCGGGTCCCTATCGAGGAAACGGGACTCGGGCAAGGTCGTTCACACCGCGAGGCATGGGAGGCGAGCCGTGGAGAAGAGTTGCAGTCCCGTAAAATTGCAAGCGTTGTTCAACTGCAACTGCATCTTGGATGATTTCAAAGACAAGATAGAAAAGTACTGCTTATCTGGCAATGCGACTATAAGGACTTCCACGCCCAACGGAAGTCCCGAGACTGAGAGAACAACGACGGAGAACGAGGGCTCTACTGACGCTTCCGATAATAATCCGTGCACGGATAACTGCCACTCTTGCAACGAGGCGAACGAGAGAGCGGAATTCCTGAAGAGCAACAGCTTGCCTTTGATAGAGAAGCTGTTAAAAAACGATTTGGATATATTGAAAAATATTAAGAAGGATGGTCAGAATCTGGATAGCAATATAATGGTGAAGAATAAACCGGCACAGGAGGTCTTCAAGGTATCCACAGAAAGGGAGGCGAGCATATTTTCGAAACTGTACGCGGAGCAGTGTGGAGGATCGGTCGGTAGTCAGCATTTGACGGAGATCGTCAAGGATTTAAGTGTGAGGGACGTAGTGACGAATTTGGAAACCTTGAAAACGATCGAGTCTGACGATAATAAACTGAAGCTGAAGACCGAGAAGGAGATATTGAGAATTATGTCTGTCGTCGATCACAGTATGTCATACAGTCATGTCATATTATAACGAACAGTGTTGAAACAATGAAGAATGTGTTTCACTTTTCATTTTTTAGGTACCACTTCCGTGCACAGGGAAAATCCGAGTCCTTACAAACAGGCCGTCGAACAAACCGTATTGAAGGTAAATCTCCCCGAATATTCATTTGGTGACACGAACATTCCAAGGTTCTACAAGGACTCTATGAAAGTTTTCGATGGCTGTTATGAAAAGGACTTCGCAAACAATTCGGAATTACAATGCTTGCTTCAGCAGTTGGAGAAGAAGAAATGGAGCATATTTTCTGATCAACCGGGCCAGGACATAGCGATGTCCTCCGATTTCACGAAACAGAGTGACCCAGAGATTAGATTGCCGTTGGTGCCCAATATCATAACCGCATCTCCGAATGGCAGCCTTGAGAAGATAGAAAGGCACGTGTAACAATAATAAACAGATTTCATATTTTTATGCAAATTAAAGCAAAATAATCAAATTTAAATTGATATTTACTATACTTTTAATGTTCCACACAATTTTACTACTCAATTTTTATAAATGCATAAATTCTACAGTTTGAAAATAAGTATTAAATAATAGCTAAAAATGTAACTATTTGTACTTCACTAGCTATGAGATCTCGATGTCGTCCACGAGTAATATTGGTAATTACGAGCAGTTAATGCCGCAAATCGTGCAAGTGAACGAACAACGAAGCCTAGACGACACTTGCTCGCTGAGCGACGTTTATAGATCCAGTTCGACGTGCTTAACAAGAGAAGCCTACACTCAGACGAACGACGACGATTACTCAATGAGAACGAGTTTGAACACAAGCTTAGTAGACCCTAAGCGACACAAGAAATTACACTTAAAGCGCAAACGATTAAAGGATGCCAGGAACGTTTCTCCTATCGGTAATTTGCACGAGCATAAAACCGAGTCTCGAAGCTCGATATTGAAGGATCAAGCCAAGTCTCGTCAGAGACCCAGCAGACCTAACGACAAAGAGAAGAGGCCGCCGCATTTGACATCTGACAAGCAGGACTGCGTATGCAAAATACCTCGAGCGGACAACAAACACTTAAATTTTCCCGAATCGAAACCAAATGATAATAAAACAGAAGGGAACAAAGGATGCGCCGCGAGATGTAGATTAGAGAACTTTGGAACCATTCCCTTGTCACAAGTGGTACGACCGTCGATGTTCGACTCGCTGATCTACCGAAGGAAGCCTCCGACGTATCCAAAGAAGACGAGAACCGATTCACCGAACCAAAGCGTATCAAACGCGAACGCAAAAAAGACATCGGCCATCAAGAAATTATTGGAAGTGTCAAAGAAGCCAGTGGAGACACTGCCGGTAGTAAGTTCGAAGAAACTCAAATTCAAAGGCAGAGCGGAGACGATGGAAGAACAGGAAGCACGAGATATGAGAGCTTTGAAGGCTTACAACGAAGTAACTCTGTGGAAGGACAAAAAGGAGCTCGAGAAGGACAAGAAGAGATGGCCTTGGAAAAGATATCCTGGGGAATCAGGCCCGGAGTCCTCCAGGAGTCGACCTCAAACGAATAAGAAGAACGATCGTCCGAAGAAAGATACTTCCCGGATTACGGAAGCGAGCGATGATCGACCGGACAAGGAGAATCTCTTAGTGGACGCAGCGACGGAAACAGAAGGTTTGGCTTCTACCAGGGACACCAAACTACCGACTGTAAAAATGAGTAGCTTCGCGAGTGAGAAGTATACGTGTCCCAGATTAGCCAAGCTTAACAAAGTGACGGACAAGCTGTTGAGCAACTTCGACCGGCTGCAGGGCGGCCAGATGAAACAAGATTCAAGGAGGAGCAAACCGGCCAGTGAAACGGATACCAGAAAACCGCATACGAAGTATAGCAGGCCTAAGAAAGCAGATGAGGAGAATGTTTCAGTAGCTTCTATAAAGAAGGTGGAGGGTGCGCAGAAAGGCCGCGAATTGGAGAGGACACCTGCCAGGGAGGATGTCAGAGATCCTGCGACGATCTCTGTTTCTTCTTCCACCACCGAAGAGTCGTTGCAACTCGATTCTCGTCAACGATGCACGAATATTGCTGATACGTTCGCGAGGATTAATTATGATAAGGTGTCATCGACTTACATGGATGGAATGAATCTTGTCGAGAGAAACGATGATTTACTGATGTTTAAGTCTACCATAATTCAAGAAGTCACGTCGTCATGCTCTTCGAGTACTATCGGCCAGGCAGACGAGTTGCTACTTCCAGTGCAAGGTATGTTTTCAAATATTTTTGATGAATATTCTATATATTACACGTACTTTTAGTATTTAATAACAGTTCTGTTAATAACGTAGAAATGCAAGACGTGATTTTATTCTTGACAGATTTGAATGCCTTGGATGAAGACGAAACGCAAATGCTAGTCGGGCACTCTAGAATACCGGTCCGAATACTGGATATGGAGGACCGCAAGACGGAAGTCTACACGATAGCAGAAGACTACAATGAAATGTACGCGCAACAAACGCAAATCGAAACTCGTAACAAAGAGATATACACGATACCAGGAATGGAAGATCGTCAAACGGAAGTTGAAGATATGAGTAAGCACGAAATTGGAACGGTAACTGAAATTAAAAAAGATAAAAAGGAAGAAACCGAGAGACCTGAGGTCGCAGATGCTTCCACGGTTTTAGTGCAAGAACAAATTGAAAATCTAGAGAAAACCGATACAATTGAAAAAGATATAGAGATTGAAGAGTTGCAGGAAAAATTGGAATCACAAGCGAAACAAATATCGGAAGACAATTCTTCGAACAACGAATTAATAGAAGTTGAAGAATCCAAAGTTTCGGGTCTCGAAGAGCCGACTGAGGGTCAAGAATTCGAAATCGGAGGAAGCAGAAGCGACAGCCTGGAAGTGTCTGAGAATCGATCCGAGAGGATCTTAAGAAGACCAAGTAGAAACATGAGCGACTTCGTTAGAAATATCAATATGAACTACGTTGCGAACGGCGTTATACTGAGCAACTCGAATGCTCCAAGAACGAACATCCCGCCTCAGTGGGACATAGTCGAAGACGAAACCGTCAGAACGTTGCAAAACGCGCTCTCGTACGGGTCTAGAGACAATCCATTCGACCTGATGGGCGAGATCGTGACGATGGACGACGTTCTGAACCTCAGAAGCTCGGAATCATCTGCGGACGACTTCATCTTCGAGACGAGTAGGGAATCTTCCAATCCCAGTGGCGTCGACTTCTCTCGCGAGGAGAACACCTTCCGACAGACGATCCTGGCCACCATCCGGCACTTACAGAATTTAGAGGAGACAGATCACGACGAAGCTCCCTGCAACCTGTTCATCACCACCATCCAACGCGAGAGCCTGCCTATCGACTTGGGGATGGAGACCGTGGACCACTTCGAGTTCGAGGACGAAGAAGACAACGAACATCCGACTATCAACGAGTTCGGTGATCTCTTGACTCAAGTCTTCAGAGCGTTGAACATCCGTGGACTGCATCCGAGCAACATTTCTGGTCTTCGATTCGAGATTCTTCGGAATTCGTTTACCGAAGACGAAGAGGAAGAGGACGAGGGAGACGACGAAGAGAGTCGCAAGGAGGAACGGGCATCGATGGAGGAGAGACTACTACGGTTCATCAAAGAAGATATTTTCACGGATATTAAATTTCCCATTGTGGTCAAGATGTCGGACTTGATACCTGGCGTAATTCCTCCCGTTAAAGAGGAAGCTGAGGAAATTATAGGACTTCGTCAAATGGAAGCAAGCAAGATAAATTTGTTCTCTCTGGCGGATGATAAGAGCGAAGATGGAGAAGATTATCTTGATGATATGATCAGAAATAGATATGCTAATGGACACTTGCAGGATTTGGAAGAAGATGAAGAGTCGATGTTCACCGCGCATTCTTCGAGGCAATTTACGAGTATCAGTGATTACAACCTTGTCGAATCAGCTATAAGGGATGATAGGCTAGCTTCTTCTTATTTGGATCAACCGTCCACGAGTAGTTCTGTGTCCCCGGGTCTCGCGGGCAATTATAAGAAATATACTATGATTAGGTCTGAGCCACTGCAAGTTCGCAAGGGGGCCACGAGGGACATGTTAAATAGAACTTACGATTTGTTCCCCACACCGTTTAAAGAAGAGGAAGGGAGCACTTCTAGCGAGGAAATCGAGAAAGAGATTGAAATTGACAATTTGCAAGAATTTAAAGACGGCAGTAAGCAACTTTATAAACACAGCGAAGTTGAGGAAAGTGTAAATACAGAAATTGAAAGATCGTTCGTGAAGACGGTTGATGAGAGCATTCAACTAACGAAATTCGAGAATGAAAAAACAGTCGAAGCGTCACGAAATGAAGATACGTTCAGAACTAACGGAAACGATTCCTTGTCCAAAGAAGAGGAAGTTAAAGAGGCAAGGGACATAGGAACGGAGGATGAAACGTCGTTAAAAATCATTTTCATCTTTTGGGTGTGCGTGATCATCTTTTATTTGAAATATTTCTATAAAAAAGTAACCTCGTACAAGCATAATTCGACGTCCACGTCGACTCTGAAACCGTTTGAAATTCATACAGTGCCGACGTCGACGAGTTCGCTCTTCGAGCACGTGAGGTATCTAGGGATGCAAGAAGAGGAAATTGAAAATGACTCGCTGGAGAGGATCGTCGACCTCGAGGAGACGGATACTTCCCGTTCCAGCGATTGCAACCAGTTACCAGATTTCGACTCGTCGAACTGTTTTCGCGCCACGTACGAAACCAGTTTCAAGCACGTCGAAAACAAAGACGATGAAGTCATTTGGAGCGACTGTGTCTCAGAAAACATCCAGAATCCTTCTGGTGCAAATGCATTGAGAGAACAGAATCGTGATTCGCTTGATACAGAATTGCGAAGAGAAGAACAGATTGATTCCGGAATCTTGCGGCCAAATATAATTACGAATGACGTATCGTTGAGCGTCGATGATAAAATAGGCAAGACCGATACAACCAGATTTGAAGAGCAAAGATTGATAGAATTGCGGTTGGCAGAAAAAGAAATCGAGGCCTTCCGGTATAAAGAAGACGACGACTCGAGTTCGTCGAAATCGTCACCGAGACGAGAAGATGAGATGAAATTGTTCGACGATACAAAATCGTCTCCTTGCGCGGAACTGCACATAGAAGAAGAGAAAGAAAGACCAGAGGCGAAAGAATTTGATAATAGCAAAAAACTGAACTCTAGTTTTCTGATTGAGGAGAAAAAATGTAATGAGTTGAAGGAAGAAGAGTCAGCGAATGATCAAACAGGTAGAATACCCTCGTTCATAAATCTAAAATTCTTTAATAGACGATGAACAGACGGAAGTTACTTAAGATTTATGACATTCCATTATTATTTGTTTAAAATGCATTCAGTAACAAAATTTCTACAGGTAATCGCGAGGAAACGAACTTAGAGACGCGCAGCGTCAAGGAAGTCGCGGGCGCCGACGAACCTCAGAGTCCGCCTGAAGTTTTAAGAACTTATTTACCAACGACCGACAGTTTTGACTCCACGTATACGAAAGAATCGGAAACGTCGAAGAACGCTACGTCCACAGTAGATCTGAACGAATCGTCCATGGAAGATTTTCCAATCAGATCGAACGAGTCGATTTTGGAGAGTTGAGCGAGCAAGACTCGGCTCGAGCTTATCGTATTTTCGAGTTCGTTCTTTTTTACTCATTTCAGTTTTCGCAACAACGGATTTTAGCTTGGTAAAAACGATTTTTTATTTATTGCTCCCGGCATTCTTTTGCTTCTCGTAACAAACAGTTGTTGAAACATACATACATTTCTGTCTTTTCATTTCAGAAGCGAAACGATGTTGCGAAATAGACGTTTTGTTTTTTATATTGTTGAAAGAAGATGTTTTCTTCTTCGGTTCAAAAATATTTTCCGTTTATCAGGAAAATATTCTCAATTTCTTATCTTGAAGGAAGGATGCGTCAAACATATGTATTTTTAGTTTATTTCACTTCTCACGTTGGTGCCGATTTATATTTTATAAGTGACATTTTTGGATAAGCAGTATTGAGTGATACGTTAAATTTTCTCCATGATTCGAACGTACTTGTTTATTATGCGAATAAAACATTTTAAAGAAGCCTCACAACCAAACGTATCTTATTAGAAAGTCTTGTCAATTGCAAGTTTATCAATCCGTACGTCGGTTTCACTCGAATGACCTTAGATCAGGTTCATTCGATTCCAGCCGACCTCTTATCCCGCTCTTTTATTCCGCCGCTCAACAAGCTCAACACACTTAATTAAATACAGTTCCTGTTTGCCCCCAGCAATTTTTTAACGATCACTTAACTCTCATTACTCTGTCCCTTCGCAAATTTTCACTCTCCGATTCGTACTCGTACTTTTCAATTCTCAAACGTCTCATCGCTCAACGTCAGAATATTGAAGTTTCCTGAGAAGCAATTTTTGATTTTACTTCCTCACACGGTCGTCGCGCTACTTTTGTACCATTTCAATGACGATAACTCGTTCATTTTTGTATCGAACTTGTCTTTTCCGTCGAAGGAAAAGGTCGCCGATCGGTTGGCGAACGATCGCGGAGCGAAACGGAGGCGAGGAGCGGATCGGTACTGTGTTGGTTAGCCGGCACCGGTGTAGGTGTACGGTTCGTAGGTGTACCAGCTTCGCGGTCTGCCGCGGCGCGCAGCGGCTTACTGTTCTTGGCACAGTTTCTGACCATCTCCTATTGCGAGCGGACCGCGCGCTGGACCTAAGCGGGTAATCTCGTTACGCTTCGCGACCACCAACTTTCTTCTTTCCTCCTCGTCGCGCGAAACCTTCTCCTCCGGTCTCGTTTCCGGTGATCCGCTCACCCTCCGGGAGGACCCTTCACCCTCGACTACGAGATCTTCAAACAAGTGAGTAAAAAATCGGTGCGAAGTTCTTTGATCCGTCGAATTTGATTTTATACGTGATCCATGATATTAAATATAATCGTCAAGTAGCGAGGAAGATGCGATTCGATTTTGTGAAGGACGGAAGTTAAACGCGCAACACGGAAGATTTTGAAATCGAGTGTTGTACATTCTTGTCGGATTATTTAAATTTGGACAGATGCATATAGTGAGACTTGACACGTATTGTGCGTTCTGGGGTTGAAGCCGCAAGGGGAGAAAGTGGCAAGGCATAATATAATCGTCGCGTGGTGTGAAATAATTGAGAGATCTACTTCGCAGTCTCCGATATTAATTGAAAACGCTTAAGGAACGTTTTTAAACAACGGTATAGCTTAATCGGCTCCGTGAAAAACAATTCGTTGTACCAATTGGTTCCACTAATTGTTAGAACTAGAGGCAATTACTTCCTTTGTGCATTCACGATAGAGTCGTAACGCGACTGGTTTCAATTTAAAATCACCTTTCAATTTTTGTTATTTCAAAGTCTAGAGTTTCCTCAAGCTTATCATAATTTGCATTTCTATTTTCGTTTATTTTCGAGGTATTGAGAAACCGAATTATTCTCAGAATACTGTTTTAAATTTATTAGTATTGTCAACAAGCAAACTCGACAGACTGACAGGCTTGCAGAAGTTAGCGACACTCGGATTACTGAAATCGAGACGAGATGCAGGAATCGTCTGATTCGAGCGCGTCTTCGGTCGCGACATTTTCATGGAAAAACGAAAAGAATCGGAGTACGCGAACAATGCTGTTGTAAAAATTTCCTCGTGTTATCACCGGGCAAAGAGACTTTGCTTGTATAATTTATTGCGTGCAAGTCTCGTTGCCTTCGCCGATCACGTCGGATTCTGGATAAAATTCTTCTGCGCTATCAACAATGATATCTGGTTGAACTTCTTGCTCGTTATCATTTAACAAGCCACAGTTTTATCGAATGACCTAAGGTGAAAAAAAATTATGCGAACTTTGATGACTTAAGGATGTATTGGCTATACAGTCAATCCCAAAAGTTTATGTACCTTAGAAAAACGCATTTCCTATAATTAAAAAGAAA